TGTTTTATTTTGGAGAAGAACGTGGAACATCTCTAAAGCTTGTGATAACAACATGTCTTCTTTCAGAATAACCAGTTTCTGTTGAAATAAACATTGAACTCTCTGAGGTGAGGGATTTTTCAAGGTTTAGCGCGCATTACGTGCACACTTTTTATAGTATATCTATATACTATATATCAGATATATATACACAAAAAGTATGCAACCGCCTTTAGCTTTGAGGTACTGCATTACTAAATATCATTTCTTTGACCCGGATTTTGTAGTTTCTAGCAATCTCATTTTTTCTTTGCTTGAATGCAGGCCAATCATTTTACCCTTCTGAAACTGATTAACATGCCTTTCCACGACCACAGGAGATGTCTTCTGACATGGTTTGCTAAGAAATAAGAGTTAAACACCATATTAGCTAGGGGTTAAATAACATGTTCCACTGAAACATAGAATCACTGCAGTAACTAGAAAATGCATTTCCTGCAGAAATGCGTGCCAAATGCCTGTAAACTAGTGTACATGTTGGTGCCTCGCTTTAGCAGAAACGCAGAAAAAGCTGAATATGTTATAAGTCATGAATGGTCTCTTAGCTGCTTTCAGCTACAAAAACCTAAGTAAGTGTGTTGCTCAACTAGCCGCGAGAAATGCGAAAGGGTGAAATGATTTGAATCCAAATTGTTACAGCTCAAACTGCACTGCAATGGTCTTGTTGAAAACGTTGAAAGTGAAATGTTAAATGGAAGAGTATGACGGAAGATAGTGAAGAAGCTTAATATTAAACAGAAACAGTTTAAAAAAAGGTATACAACAACATCACACACAACTCATATACCTTGATTCCTGAATAGCTGAATAATGTAATAGCTTGAATGGTTTCCTGCGCTGAAGTGGCTGAAGGAGTTAAATATCAGATGATAATGTAGTACGTGAATGAATGTGTATTAAGAAGAAAAGAAAGCTAAAAAGGCTTGGGAAAGCAGCAGCAATTTTGACTGCAAACTTTTCGACTAAAACCATATGTCACCAATAATGTATAAAATATGTGGAACCTGTTGAAGTCTGTATGAAGTCTCCATCAGACATAAAAGAATAGGCTGAGACAGTCTGTTAAAGTCCAGTGTTTTTGTCACTGTTTGTTTCTGTGCTGAGCACCTAATCATAACAAATAATCATAACACCTGTGTGAGCCCAGAGATCAAAGCTTTCAATCTGCGCAGCAACACCATGGTTACCAGCTGCAGCACTGAGTCCCATTAAGAATGCATTGAGGATTATATCTCACAATTTTGCCACCTGGTCAAAAACTATGGCTCCTATCAAAAAATGAACAGACCGTGAGCATCAGGGAACCCCAATGAACTGATATATGTTTTTTTGGGGGGTTTTGTGTGTAAAATGTGGAGATGGGAGCAGTTTGTCTAAAGTGTACTTCTCTCTGCTCTGAAGAAAGATCCGGAAATTGTTTACATGGGAGTCTATTGGGAGCTAGGTGGAATTTTTGACAAGTTTTTGTCTCTTCATGCCCTCAAGAGGCATTCTGTTTAATTTGTTTTCTTCATTTTTTAATTTTTCAACCTAGTTTTCCTACTTTTTTCATGAAAAATTATGTCCAAGGAGTGTAGGGTTTGGGAATTATGGCAGGTTTAAGAAAAAAAAAATTGGACGAAATCCACTCTGTTTTGACATCAAAGCACTCTAAGCTTTAACGAGCTGCTCAATAGACACTAATGTTAAAATCTGAAGAAAGCCTCTTTACCAAGCTCCGAACTAAGTTAAATATCTCAAAAAGTTTCAATACGAATTGAATAGCTGAAGGTCTTAAGATCATTTTAAAGTTGGAATGAAGTCTCAAGCTCAAAGTATGTGGAAGGAGAAGCATTTGGCGCAAGGTGTAGATAAAAGAGGATTTGAAGGTTCCTCCCATTGACTTCCATGTTAAAAAAAGAGTTTTAAAAAAAAGCTGAATATTTCAAAAAGTATGACATATTTTGAAAAAGTTGAAAGTTTCCCATCGATTCCTGAACAGGCTGAATAGTTTGATATTTTAATGGTTTCTGTAGCTGAAAGTATGCTGAAGTTATGGAGAGCCAAAGTATTGGCTGAAATAATAAGGGGAAGAATAAAGATTCGAAGAACCATAGTGGAATGCTATAAACAGCATTCGCACTAATTATCCAATTGAAGGCTCTTACAGATTTGCTAAGTTAAATCCAGTTGGTGACTTTTTTTTGGATGGCTATTGCACATATACATAATATATATATATAAATAAAAGGATGAACGGGCTCACCTTCAGGCCTCGCCGTATTCTGTCAGTCATCACTCCCATGAACTCCTTGTGGCTCAGGCACTTATCTCCATCCATATCAAAGAGCTTGAAGACAGTATCCAGAACATTGTCAGACAGATCGTGGCCTGTGGCGATCCTCACTGCTCGTTTGAACTGGACTGCAATGAGAGGAAGGAAAAATGTGATCATCTACTGTCTGCAGTCTGAGAGAGAAATACCCACATAGTAATGAAGCGAGGCGTTACCCATTCCAACAGGCCGGTTGGCTCCAGTGACCAGTTTCATAGAAAAGGAAAAATCCTCCAGATTGTTGGTGAACAGACAGAAGGCTTTGAACTCCTCGAAGGTGATACTCTGCAAGACAACATTTCAGTTAACCAATAAACTAGATTCAATCTTTTCACAGCATTTTTGTGATGAAAGTCCCATCACCTGGCCTGCAGGGATCCTCTTCCTCATGTTCTCCCAGTACGCCTCGTTGTCTTCTTCATTGGTGTAGTGTAGCAGCCACTCAGCGAAGTCTTCTCTCCTCATGGTGTCCATACCTTTGGAGAACTGCAGGAACTCCATCTCCTGGACTTCAGCCTGCAGGTCTACCATGAACCTGAGGACACAGGGGAGAGGTCCTACTGAGGTTAGTGAGGAATGTGGTCACAACTATACCACAATCACTTTAAAGAAAGCCAAATACAGTTGAATGAATCCATTCTTTACAATGAAGTCTATTTTATCCCTTAATATATATGATGGAGTCCAACATCTGACAGAACTAGATTAATATCATAAGGAAGAATGATAGGCTGTTTCTGTTCTGTTGTACAGCGGCTTTCACTATTTTATAAATAGCAAGGTTTTCCTTGATTTAGATCAGGGGTTGGCAATCCGCGGCCCTCGAGCCGCATGCGGCCCTTTAAGCCCTCTGCTCTGGCTCCCTTGAGCTTAGACAAAAATAAGAAGGAAATAAAATAAAAGTATTTGTAGGACTATTTATATTTTTGTTGCATGGTTGAAAATGTTTCGTATCTTGTATTTTGAGGTGATACTGTGAGACATAAATAAAAAACAAAACGGTTTTAATTAGATCAACTAAAATATGCGTCACATCCTGCTACGGTCCCGCGCGAGCGCCTTTTCTTGGAGGCGAATAACCTGACCCCCGGCTCGATGAGCGAACTATGGATAAATCAAAGAAAAGTACCGGAGGAACACAGGATTTAATTCTGTGTGGACAGAGTTATATGCTTTCACAGCAAACGATGCTGGTTTACCGGTATGTTTGATATGTAGAGAGAAGTTGTCAACGGTGCTGCAGCCTTTACGTATCGAGGAACAACACGGGAGAGGAAGACAGCTGACGATCTGGTCATAATTCAATGAGGTATGTAATTTATTTCAGAAAACACTTTTTGTTATATTCCATGGAATACTCTTAACGTCCCGATAGCAAGGACGTGTGTGGTCACATAGATACCATGTCGGGAGGTATGGAGTTCCTGAGGGAGTGGGGGGAGAGATGGAGGCACGCCTGGTGGGCGAGTGACGTTGAGTCTGGAGGAGTTGGGGGGCTACCTGATTCGAGCATGGTACCTCCTGGCCCGGGAAGACGGGAGCCGACGGGGGTCAGACACCTTGCGAGAGGGCTTGTGTATCTCTTCGTGGAGGTGTCTGCACCTCCAGAAAAATTTTTTTCCGGGTTTTGGGTGGAGAAGTTTATCGTCGGATTAGGGATCTGTAAAAATGAATGATAATAGTGGAAGATAGAATTGAAAATAAGGAAAATGATAAATGAAAATAAATAAGCGAAAAAAAATGAATAAGAAAAATGCTACAATCGTGATAGCCCGAAACTTACGTTTATACTTCACGAAATATTTAATTTTCGGTAATAATAATAATAATAATAGTATGAGAATAATAACATCCAATCAAAATGTAAGCTTCTTAGCTAGTCAAACAGAGTTTAAACTGAAAGAACTAGTTACATAAAGTCATCGATATAGATTATAAAGACAAGACAAAAAGACTCGGACTGTTCTTTTAGTAACCCTGTCATTTTCTTCGAGAGGTTCGTGTCTCCACCCACAAGGTATAAGTAATTTGAGTTCGTCCTAGGCCATATTAAGTCGGAGTGCCTGCCTCATTACAGACGAATACATATAGGTGACCTACCCCGGATTGTCTGTTCTCTGCGTCACCATCTTCCTTCACACAGCTTGTGTTGAGACGTCCGGGATGAAGAAACCCGTTCTCTCCTCTTTTGTGTCGACGTCATAGTCCTTGAAGGTGTCCATGCTTTGCCCCGTGCAGTGTGAGTAACGTAATCGTCACCACACACTCAAGTGACCATGTCGGTGACGTGTACAGACGGCACAGACGTCTTATGACTTAGTAAGTAAATGGATTTAGCTAACATTCTCATTGAACAAATTGAGTGAATTTTTTATGTGATTACATTATGTATCATAATCCGTCAGTGAATTAAGTGCCAAATCGGTTGTTTCTCTTTGAAAAAAGAAAAAAAAAAAAGTATGTAAGTTACTATGTAAATTCTTTTCAACATACGACAACTCACTTACATTACACACTCACTAACATGAACGAAAGGGTCGGAATCACATGAATTCCATCAATTTTCACCAAATTTGGAAGGTAATCCCAGTGCACTCGCGAACGCCTGGATCCACATATATCTATTCTCAACCGCTTTATTAGACGCAATGTGAATGCCACCCGAGGATAAACAAAACGTCATGCGAATTATTGCCCCTGCAGATTGTAGCTTCGGTGAATGTACAATGTTAACCGACCGATTTGTTCGGACACCACGAACGTAGTCTTAGAAGGAACTAGAACGTCGTCCATGAGCATTTAGTTTTTACCTCGTTTGGAAAACTGTTGTTTCTGGTAAAACGAAGGAAAAAGGTTTTTGTAAAAAAACAAGGGACCTCGGCGGCTTTGTAAAGTGGACTCGGGATTATGCCAAACATAAATAACAGAGTATAGTCTGTTTGATGGGCAAAAAACGTAAATAGATCCGATAACAATCCGTAATATATTTTGACAATCTGCGAGATTATTCTTTGTTTCTTTGAGCGATGACATATGTCGCTCTTAATTTTTTTTTTTATTTATTCGTCGTCCGGATTGAAATTTTATTTAATTTGGTGGTCGTGAACCCCTTCAGGGGACGTGTAAACTTCCTTTTTTTTTATAATAAGTTATTACCCGGGGGGTGGAAACTTATTTATTTTTCGTATATCGACGGGGATTTTTCTCAATTTCCATCCATCCAATTCTTACCTCTTTGCGTCGGAACTCACGCGATCTTTTTATGTGTCGGGCCTTTTTTTATACGGAGAACGCGAAGTCTGAAAGATGTCTCAGGGAGGAGGGTAGTGTGTGTTTGCGCCGTACGTACGTTACTCCGGTGGCTCTATTTCCACCCACGTCGTCTAACCTTCCGATCTCGTCCGTCCATCCGGTAGGTCAATGAGTGAATCGGGCCCAGGCCTTGATTTTACTAACCAGCAGACGAAAAAATGTCCGCGATGCCGAAGGGTCTCTAATTAAAAACATACATAGGAACAGGTTATCGTAANAAAAACTACTCGCTCAGGTGTGGATGTGGTTTTGTAGCGAGGAAAAAAATGGCTGCCTAACAAAAAAAAATCAGAGTCTAACGGGGCGTGGTTTGCAATTCGCCCAGCCAATAGAAATAGAATAGAAATTGGCACTTCTTTATCACCCACCTCTCTAGCAGGGACTGAAATTGGCCAAAAGAGTTCTCGGCACTGAGTTGTCCCGGCGGTGTGAACGCAACATTATTGGTACTAACGGAACTAAAGAACCAAAGTACCAGGGAAAGTCCTGCGGTGTGAATGTGGCTTATGAGCATGTTAGGAGGGCAGGGGCTGAACAAAAGAAGCCTAAATACTAAATCTTAGCTCGTGACACAGCTCGTTGTCGGTTATCTGAAGGAAGTGGAGCGTAGTGTGCACAGATCTCTGCTGCTGCATGTGCAAGCCTGTATTTTTTCATTTTATGGGATCTGCAAAGGATTTAATCAGTCATGCTCTGTCTAATAGATGGGTTGTTCAGTGGAGCGTGATGAGAGAGCATGCTGTCCCGGAAAGAGAGAGATGAGAGGGGGAAGACATGACAGTGCCTCTAAAATACAAGGCCTCGGAACACAAAGGAAAAGCGAGTTGACGCTGTCTTAAAGACGGAGCCAAGTTAGCTCTTGATTCCTGCCTCCACAGGAATGTTCAGCTTGAATTATGCACGTGCAGGGCTGTGCTCCAGTGGGAGAGGAAGAAGGCCTAACTGTTGTTTGAAGACACGTTTTGCCTTTTAACACAGAGGGAAAGCTAGAGCTGTCCAGGAGAAGCACATCACTTACTTTACATGAATCACTTTCTCTAACCCTCCCACACACTGCTGCCTCCACAGACAAGTCATCGGATAAATGATAGCAAGGCAGCGCACTGATTCACGTTTCAGCCGATGTGTTTACTGAGACTCTCATGGATTTGTTTATTGACTTAATGTTTCTTTTGACATAAAGTATACATAGAGAGAGACATTTGTAAATTAATATCAGCCTCATGTTATGTCCCCCCAATATGAATTGACAACCAAAGATGTCACCACATTTGTAGCACAGTTGAAAACTTTTGCTTGGGACAGTGGCTTTGTGTTCATGTCACTATGTCACATAATAGTAACCAAGCACAGTTACAATACAAGTTTTCAATTGAAAATATTGGTTAAATTATGTTTTATTATTTTGTCACAGCAGCAGTGTTGTCAAACATTACAAAAGTAAAACATATTTAACAGATACAGTAAGATACAAATATAATAAATACAAAAAAATTAACATCAGCAAGTATAAATAATACAAATAAAAATGCACAATAGAAAGGACTTACATTATATCACTTAGAGTATTTAAATAATACACCATATACAAATATTGAAGAAATTGAATACTTTACAATATACAATCTCACCAAGCTGCAAAAATATATAGAAATATACTACAGACACATATTGGCATAAGATTATACATAAATTAAAATGTTGCAAAGTAGGCTTTTTGCAAATTGTTGTCGGTTATAGAAAACCAGCAACATAGTGTATCTTTATTCTGAGTCCCTGCAGTTGATCACACATCATGTGTCCCCATACAAACTGTTTATGGAAGAAAGGTGTCAAAGGTGACGTGATATGCAAACACTGTACTGCAAATAGACAGTTGGATGATTTTCATTGGTGGATGGGAAGGTCACGGACATACGGAAGAGTCTCCATTATAAACAGTTTGTAAACTGCACTCGCTGGGATTAAAGAGATGTTTCACACACACAGTAGTGTTTCCGTTATATGTTTATATTAGTTAATGGATGACAGTTGAGTTCTATGTCAGGTCAGAATGAGCTACTGTACATCATCCTGCCTGCTTGGCATTTGTAGAAGCCCAGTTTCAGTTTTTGGCCCTTCAGGGCATTTGTTCACCACTCACAATAGGAAGGGGGTGGACATTGTTGCAGTAACCCTGAAGAAAATATTGCTGCTTGCAAGTGATAGTGGGCTAGAGTGGTAAAGAAAACCGAGCACCCAACTTTAAAGAGGACGTTTGATGCTTTTTGGGGCTTTAGGTTTTAGTGCATGTAAATATGGTTTGCAAAGGCTTAAATCCCTATTTTCCCTCTAGAGGGAGTCTCCTTTGTTTACTTCCCTAACATAGTGACATCACTAGGTAACACTCACGCTTCTATTGGCTTGCGCTCCAACACAGTACGTGATAGGCTAAGGGGCGGGACGTCACTAAGCGGTCAGAGCTCTGGTTTCAGACAGAGGATGAAAAGAGGTGCTGCAGCACAGGCAGTATGAGAACAATAAAGAGCTTTTTGAACATCATGAAGACATGTCACAGTAGAGACACTAAATACTGATATGAACCTGAACATGAGCAGGAGAGGACTCTTTAAAGTTTGGTCACAATAATATATCAATGTTATTTTATAGCGTGGTAGGTTGAATACAGCGCCAGACAGCAGCTTAACATACTGTTTATCCAGTGTTATAGGAAATCCTTTCAATCCATGTTAAAGCTATAAAGCCAATCATTCCCAGAACACATTTTTCAAGAGTCAATGTGTGTTTTTTTGGTTTTCTGTTTGGCATATCATTGGACTTAAAGAAACTATTGGAGAAATTACATTGTCTCGGGATTGGGAGTCCAACAATAAATAATCTGTTTGTGATAAATATTGAAAGTAGTCCTTTGTTGCAGCACTATATTATGAGAGGACTGGCTTTTATAATGTCTCAACTTAATTCATTATGCGGTTTGGTTTTCATACAAAAGCTGATCCAATAAAAATACAGCTTCCTGAACAAGGTCTGATATTTGCCTTTAGTTAATTTAATTTCATGTTTCAGGAGACACTGTAATCCCTCTCACCATGGTTTACATGTTTAATGATGTGCACCAAGTTATTTTAAGACGGTGATGTCAGTGCAGTTAGGCACTACTGATACATTAAGCAGTAGTACAATGACTTCCCGCCCAAATCTGGCAAGCTGAGAGACTTTGCTTTAATAATGAAATCAATATAAATATATAAAATCTTACATTTACATTCCACTGCAGCAGGGTTTTACGGTGACATTCACTCAGTATATGTTGCTAGATCCTGGTACGTCAGGACACTCATACTGAACGAGCGTGAATGATTGTCCAAAGCTTTGGAAACATGCAGCTCAGCCCGACCTCCAGCAGCAAGTCTGCAGGCTCCAGAGTCATTCTGACGAGCACCACTGAGCTGGCTGTTAGCAAGGAGGGTAGCATTTGCATAAAGGAATCATGCTTATTTCACAAGCACTCTCTGCTTCACTTTGCATATAACAGCATGTTGGCATCAGCATTATCAGCTATACTGCTATTTATTCATGTGTGTGTGCTAAACTCTAGCTATAATCGGGAACATGTTAGCCTAGCTTAGCACAAAGGGTGAAACAGTCTGGTAAAAATACACCTAACACCTCTGACACTCACTGATGAACACATGGCTTCATGTACAGCAGAAATGCTAAAACAGTTAGGTGCTCTAACACTCTCTTGGTAAACAACAGCTTGTTAAAGTAACCACATGCATCTTCTTGTGCTGCTTTCATATCATGTATAATGGATGGTAAAGATACAAAGATTTATGTTTGTAAATAGTTTTTCTATATCAATCATCTTTAGTGTTCATTAGAGACAGATTTGATGTGATCATACTTG